AAATAAAGAAAATATGTCCCATTTCCATTAGTATAAATATTTTTGTAAAAGATTGCTTCCAATTTGTGTTTTTTTTAACTAGATGATAAATTTTGACTAGCCAGCCATCTTTTAATTAAATAAAAATATACAAAGGCAAATAATAAGTAAAGGTTTTATTTCTAAATTATTATACAAGTACAGTACAGTACAGTGTATGTTTAAATAATTGCATCTGAATTTTCTCTCCTGGGCTTGTGTTAGGTGCTCTGACTGATGCCAATATGATAATGAGCATGACTTGAATTGTAATATTTTGTTCTACATTTTTATACTGCTGATATATATGTCGTATGTAGTAGCCAGAATGCACTTCTCGGCCTACTATGCAAGGCTCGATTTGCCTAATAGGCCAAGTGATTTTCTTTATTTTCAACAAATTGTTTCCATTTGGTTTATTTGAAATATTATCATTATATTACGAACATAAATTACTGACTTAGTTATGTTAGTTTAGGTTAGGTTAAGATAGGTTACGTTGGGTAGGTTAGGTTCGGTTATATATCTACGTTAATTTTAACTCAAATTAACAAAAAATGAACTCATACATAATGAAATGGATAGCTTTATAATTTCATAAGAAAAAAAATTGAAAAATATATAAATTCAAGAAAACTTAGCTTATTAGGCAAATCACGCCTTGCATAGTAGGCCGAGTACTGCATTCTGGCTACTATTATTTATATATATATATATATATATATATATATATATATATATATATATATATATATATATATATATATATATATGTCGTACCTAGTAGCCAGAACGCACTTCTCAGCCTACTATGCAAGGCCCGATTTGCCTAATAAGCCAAGTTTTCCTGAATTATTATATTTTCTCTAATTTTTTTCTTATCAAATGATAAAGCAACCCATTTCATTATGTATGAAGTCAATTTTATTTTATTGGAGTTAAAATTAACGTAGATATATGACCGAACCTAACCAACCCTACCTAACCTAACCTATCCTATCTTTAAAGGTTAGGTTAGGTTAGGTTGCCAAAAAAGTTAGGTTAGGTTAGGTTAGGTAGGTTAGGTTAGGTTAGGTAGGTTAGGTAGTCGAAAAAAACATTAATTCATGAAAACTTGGCTTATTAGGCAAATCGGGCCTTGCATAGTAGGCTGAGAAGTGCGTTCTGGCTACTAGGTACGACATATATATATATATATATATATATATATAATATATATATATATATATATATTTTATTAAATATGACCGAAAAAGTAAGATTAATAATTCTAACACGAATTTTCTCAATCTTTCGTACATTATGCTTCACTGTTGGAGGTAAATCAAAAATCACTTCTCCAAAATTCATTTTTATTTCTATAGTCTGACGCGACACGGGCGCGTTTCGTAAAACTTATTACATTTTCAAAGACTTCACAAATACACAACTGATTAGAACTTGCGTTTCCCTGATTTTATATCTACATTTGAGTGAGGTGGGAAGGGTGATGTGGCATTACATTTGAGTAAGGTGGGAAGGATGATGTGGCATTAGAGGATATTAATAGGGTATTAAAAGTATCAACACAAGACAGAACACGAAACAATGGATATTGAATAGAAGTGTTTGTAGAAAGCCTATTGGTCCATATTTCTTGATGCTTCTATATTGGAGCGGAGTCTTGAGGTGGGTAGAATATAGTTGTGCAATAATTGGCTGTTGATTGCTGGTGTTGACTTCTTGATGTGTAGTGCCTCGCAAACGTCGAGCCGCCTGCTATCGCTGTATCTATCGATGATACAGCGATAGCAGGCGGCTCGACGTTTGCGAGGCACTACACATCAAGAAGTCAACACCAGCAATCAACAGCCAATTATTGCACAACTATATTCTACCCACCTCAAGACTCCGCTCCAATATAGAAGCATCAAGAAATATGGACCAATAGGCTTTCTACAAACACTTCTATTCAATATCCATTGTTTCGTGTTCTGTCTTGTGTTGATACTTTTAATACCCTATTAATATCCTCTAATGCCACATCATCCTTCCCACCTTACTCAAATGTAATGCCACATCACCCTTCCCACCTCACTCAAATGTAGATATAAAATCAGGGAAACGCAAGTTCTAATCAGTTGTGTATTTGTGAAGTCTTTGAAAATGTAATAAGTTTTACGAAACGCGCCCGTGTCGCGTCAGACTATAGAAATAAAAATGAATTTTGGAGAAGTGATTTTTGATTTACCTCCAACAGTGAAGCATAATGTACGAAAGATTGAGAAAATTCGTGTTAGAATTATTAATCTTACTTTTTCGGTCATATTTATTAAAATATGTCTACAGGAAAGACTGCTACCAAAATATACTAATATATATATATGTATATGTATGTATGTATGTTGTACCTAGTAGCCAGAATGCAGTTCTTGGCCTACTGTGCAAGGCCTGATTTGCCTAAAGGGTTGGTTAGGTTCGGTCATATATCTACGTTAATTTTAACTCCAATTAAACAAAATTGACCTCATACATAATGAAATGGGTAGCTTTATCATTTCATAAGAAAAAAATTCGAGAAATATATTAATTCAGGAAAACTTGGCTTATTAGGCAAATTGGCCTTGCATTGTAGGCTGAGAAGTGCGTTCTGGCTACTAGGTACGACATATATATATATATATATATGTATATATATATATATATATATATATATTGGTGTATACTGGCAGCAGGTTTTCTTTCAAACATGTTTCATTGAATATGACCGCATATTCTGTATTTATTATTTTCTGGTTTAGGGCTTCTATCCCTCTAACTATTTTCTTAGCATCAGGGCTTAATTGGAATAGGAGTTCTGAGAACTCCTATTCCAATTAAGCCCTGATGCTAAGAAAATAGTTAGAGGGATAGAAGCCCTAAACCAGAAAATAATAAATACAGAATATGCGGTCATATTCAATGAAACATGTTTGAAAGAAAACCTGCTGCCAGTATACACCAATATATATATATATATATATATATATATATATATATATATATATATATATATATATATATATATATATATATATATATATATATATATATATATATATATATATATATGTATGTTGTACCTAGTAGCCAGAATGCAGTTCTTGGCCTACTGTGCAAGGCCTGATTTGCCTAATAAGCCAAGTTTTCCAGAATTTCAATATTTTTCATTTTTTTTCTTATGAAATGATAAAGCTATTCATTTCATTATGTATGAGCTAATTTTTTTTTAATTTTAGTTAAAACTAATGTAGATATATGACTGAACCTAACCAACTCTACCTAACCTATTTTAACCTAAACTAACATAACTAAATCAATAATGTATGTTCTTAATATAATATAATAATATTTAAAATAAACCAATAGGAAACAATTTATTGAAAACAAAGGAACTCACTCGGCCTATTAGGCAAATTGGGCCTTGCATAGTAGGCCGAGAAGAGCATTCTGACTACTAGGTACAAGACACATATATACATACATATATATATATATATATATATATATATATATATATATATATATATATATATATATATATATATATATATATATATATATATATATATATATATAAATTTTATTTATTTATTAAGGGAACAACTTGACATGTATATGAGAATTCAAACTGTAACAAATATTAATTTACTGTTTTTAAATTGTCCCAATTGTGAGCATTCTTTTTGTACAAGGTGCCACTATGTTCTTATTAACATAAATTTCAATACAATATCAATAGTACAAAATTTCACAGCAGTCAATCAATATTTATCATGAAAGGTATGGAGCCATTAAAGTCTCCCTTTGATGCTACACTGTACCTAAACTTAAAAAAATTAGATGATCTTAGATACACTACCGTAATGTATGGAGTACCTGGGGCCAGAAGCAGTTATGCAAGTACTTACGAACGTGTACATCTTTCTTCAATCTTTAATATATGTAACCAAAGCTGTCAAACAGTTTACATGTATCAAAACTTCCCGATCAACTGTCGTTATTGTTATAAACAGCCTCCTGGTGCTTTGGAGCTCATTAACTGTTTAATAACTAAACAAATCCGCTAAAGATTGAGAAACGATGTACGGGTTCATAAGTGTTTGCATAACTGCTTCGTGAATCAGACCCCTGGAGCTTATCTTGTATCCTCCTCGACTCCTGACTGTTTTGCTTCTCACCATCAAAGGCATTAACCACTGCAGTAACCATTACAGTAACCTAATTACAGTTTAATATATATAAATAAATAGAACTATTCTCTTCCTAGACACTAAAACTGTACGAGTGTACTAACAAAATTAAAAACAATTAACCTCAGTACAGTCATAAGCACCTAAAACAAGATTAATTTATAATATACAGTACTTATCAATGAATGAGACATATAAAAAAGAAATATGTTAAAAATAAAACCAGAAACTAGGTAACCAAAAATAAATTAAATGTAAAATGTTCCTACCAGTATACTAATTTAGAAATCATTATAAAAATTTACCTATCAACAAAATCTAACCATAATGCTGTAATATCATTTGGTTCATTAAATAAAGAAATACACATTTCTATGATTATATAAATGTTAAATATATTTGCCATATAGCAAACAAAAAATACAAAGCAATAAATTAATAAATCATAAAAGTATGGCTTAGCTCTCTCTTTCCACTGCCCAGGTTGACAATGCTCTACCTATGGTGCAGCAACCAATGGAAAATTGAAATGTTTGTATTAAATGGGCAATCCAAGTACCTTTAAGCAAGCTTTAATTGTTAGTACACCATAGGTCCACTTGCAGTCCTCTGGACTCCAACTGGAAACAAACTAATTGTAATAGGGCATTTTTTTTTATGTAGTATGCAGAGCCAGGGTGTTCCATAACATGAAGACTACAGACTAGGCTAACCCTTCATGCTTATGGTTACCATCCTACTCAAATCTGGAAAACAGTTTAGTGGATTTAAATTTATTTTTAGCTTTATCCGTCAAGGCTCTGCAACTGTTGTGAATTACATGCACTACACTGTGTCGAGCTACGTTAACATCAGCTAAAAATTCTCTTTCAAAACCCTGTAGTACCGAGACCCTTCCCTAGATATCCCCAATAAAGCATAGTATTTCAAGTTCCCATTAGTAAGAAACAATTACCATGATCCTCCACTTTTACAACATTAATAACTCATTTATGGAGATTATATAAAGATGAAGACTTAAAACATTGCTTTAATTGGAAAAAATGTAAGTTATGATACTTGTACGTACAATACATGAAATAAATTCAAGCCTCATAGATAGTCAACCAACAAAACTTTCAATGTGGTTACAATATGGTAATTGTACACCACACAGGCCTTTTAAGGTTCACTTGTGCAGTTTTCTGACACTGGACGCTAACATTACAGCTAGTGAGGCTTATTATATTGTCTTCCATCAACCCACACGAGTGTAAAGTTGCTTCTTGAACACTATTAGCGTGTGCGTCTTAGCACTGGGTTGCGGAGCACAAGTGCTGATTCAGCCGACACAATTGGGAGTTCATTATCACGATGGTAGATAATAAGGTGACTCACACTGTCGAATGTGCGCGATTTTGTCCGAACCTGAAAGAGGAATACAAAATAAAGTACCTAATTTCAAGAAGTGCCGGACCAACTGGCCTGTGGTGGATATGTGGGCCTGCAGGCCGCTCCAAGCAACAGCCAGTTGGATCATGCTCGCAAGCCAAGCCTGGCCCCGGGTGGGTTTGGGGAGTAGAAGAACTCCCAGAACCCCGTCCAGGTACAATTCAGGTACAAAGTACTGTAATCACTTACACAGGTGATTAGATAATTTTAAGTAATAAAATGACCTGACTTTTTTTTGCAACTACTGTATTTAAAATAACATAACATAAAATAAAAGACCAGCGTTGAATGTAATGAAACGCCATTTTCTGGGTGAGACCCGTCGGCTCCCCAGAGCTTTACCGGCTGATATGCTAATGTCAGACTTTGGCATCAGTTATGTGTATGGAGTTCTAGGGCCTACCGGGGACCACGGCCAGAACCTGGCCCCCTCAGAGAGGCAAGGGGAGCAATGGCCTATAGAAACCCCCGTGTGGTTGGAAGCATTCTATGTCTGCCATCGACCGAGTCAAGCATCCAGAAAGGTAAGCATTCCAAAACAAACCCCTATTCTGGTGAAAATTGCTACCTAAAGCCGAACTAGTGGATAGAACTCTTCAACAGAAAAGACCCCCACCAGATAGATAAACAAAAAGAAAAAGAAAACCCTGCAAGAGGACAGCGTACCCAAGCGGAACAGAGCCGGCCGCTGTGATTGGTAAAGACAAGCTGCACAGTACCCTGCGCCCCACCAGTGCAAAAATTGCCCCTTACTCTAAGGCGAACAATTGAGACAGAACACCCGAGCACACAAAGAGCGGCCGAAAACCAAGCAGTAAACGGCCAAGCAGGGGCAGGACCCAAGGAACTTGTGGAAGGGGGCCCCAAGCCCCAAGGGCAGTACTTACAGGGCACCTAGGGAAGGGAACCCTAGGCGCATGCAGCCCGAGTACTGGAGAATCACTCCCGGCTCACGCACCACCTAGAAAACAGACACCACACTCTAGGTACAGTGCTGAAACAACCACTGGAGCCGGAGCACATAACCGTTGCCCATAGCATCAGCCGAAGAACTGATGGGTGGATAGCCGGCGTGGGAGGTCTGGGGCTCCCCCTTCCCCCTCCCGGGGAGGGGGGAGCTGCACAGACAGCGGCGCGGTGAAACGTATGACGTCATACTAGTTTCCTTGTTTTCTGTTGAAGAGTTCTATCCACTAGTTCGGCTTTAGGTAGCAATTTTCACCAGAATAGGGGTTAATTTTGGAATGCTTACCTTTCTGGATGCTTGACCCGGTCGATGGCAGACATAGAATGCTTCCAACCACACGGGGGTTTCTATAGGCCATTGCTCCCCTTGCCTCTCTGAGGGGGCCAGGTTCTGGCCGTGGTCCCCGGTAGGCCCTAGAACTCCATACACATAACTGATGCCAAAGTCTGACATTAGCATATCAGCCGGTAAAGCTCCGGGGAGCCGACGGGGCTCCCCCCAGAAATATATATATTCTTAACCACTGCACTGCGCCACATTATAATATGACACCCCTGTGGTACGCCAAAAGAAAATTATTTAAAAAAAAATATTATTTTATCATCTTATATTGTTAACATGTGGACTTTGATCACAGCAAACTAAAATAAAATATTGTATGTGACATACTTTAGCTTTGATGGAGCTGAGAAGTTGAGCAATTTATGGGTGCTTAGTGAGTAGGTGCCCGAACATGCTCGACCCAGCCACCCCGTGGGGCAGCAGTTGCCGTGAATATCATTTGTCATAATTATTTCAATGTTTTTCATTCGCTTCTCTGTTTTCTGGGGGGAACCCCTTTGGCTCCCCAGAGCTATCCAGGCTGATATGTATATCATTAGACCATGGCATCAGTCAGTGTGAATGGAGTTTTAGGCCTACCGGGGACCACGAGCCAGAACCTTTTCCCCTCAGAGAGGCACGACGAGCAATGGCCTATAGAAATGCACATGAGATTTGGAGCATTCTATGTCTGCCATCGACCGGGCCAGGCACCCAGCAAGGTAATCGCCTCAAAACAAACCCCTATTCTGGTTAAAACGACTAAAATAGATAAGTGGACAGAACTTGCCAAACGAAAACGAGCAAACAAGCATGACGTCACACAAGCCACTCCACATGTCTGCGCAGCTCCCCTCCCCTCCCTCCCCTCCCCTCCCTGGGAGGGGGAAGGGGAAACCCCAGACCCACCGCACCAGCGATCGACCCTCCAGTTTTTGGCTGCTGTGATTGTGGCATGGTCATGTGGCTCCAGCTCCAGATTATCTCTGTGTTGTGCTGTGACCTTGGGTTCAGTACTGTTCTTATGGTGGCATGCGAGCTGGGTGTAATATTCACAGGTACTCGGGCTGCATGTGCTTAGGGTTCCCTTCCCTGAGTGCCCTGTAAGTATCACCCTTGGGGCTTGGGGTTATCTTCCACAAATCACCTTGGGGTCTACCTCTGTTGGTCTTTTGCTGCTCGGTGATTGACTGCCCCGAGTGTATTTTTTTTCGGCCCTTGTTTACCTAGGGGTAAGTGGTAGTTTATGCACTGGTGGAGCTCAGGATACTGCGCAGCTAGTTTTCACCTCTTACAGCAGTCGTCTCTGTTTCTCTTGGGTACGTTACCCTCTTGCGAGGTTTTTCTTTTCTTTTTGTTTCTGCCTAGTGGGGGGGGTGGTCTGCCTTGTGTCCCTTGCCCCCAGTTATATTAGTCTTGACCTCCGGTGTTTGGTGGTACCCCCCTGCTTGGCTCCCTGTGAGTGGATACATCCCGGAGGTTCAGTTTTGGTTCTGGCAGACCAAACTGCTCTGAGTCTAGAGTTTCTGAGACTGGCAGTTTCTGGGGTTGCCCCTTCTGGGGTGGTGACAGAGGAATTCGAGTTCATTCCTCCAGTCGTGGCTCCGGGGTCTGACCAGTGGGCCCCTTTTCTTCCTGTTTTTCCGGCCGCCCCCGTCTATTTCTTGTGAGGCTTTGGAGGATGTCTCGCCCCCAGGGCCTGATGTGGAGGTTCCCAGGGTTGGGGAGGAGCTGACATGGGGGCCTTGAGCCCTGTTGGACCCTGCCTGAGTTTTCCAACCCTCAGAGTAGGGCTTTCTGTTACAAGGAGTGGGGTTTTCTTTTCCCCCCACTGCGTACGAATTGGATTTGGGTTCGGCTCCTCCCCGGGGTTCGGTTCTGTATCCCTGCGGGTTCTTCAGTTCCGTAATTCCAGAGGTTTTCGGCTTCCCGCGTCTTGCCTACCGAGGTGCAGGCGGCCTTTGCAGCTTACCTCCTGCACGACTCTGATTATGCCTCTATAATAGATCTGTCTTCCTTCAGGTTTGGGTCTTCGTTTCCATACTGAGTTCGTTATGAGGTTCCAGAGCCATCCTGGCTTGCGGACTGCCCGTTGTTGTCGTTGGATGCTTGGAATGCTTTCTGTTGTACCCGCACGCTTGAGTGGCGCAAGGCGTTGATGGTGGGCCAGGTTTACCTGGGGGTGCGATTTTGAGCACCTTAACGCCTGCACTGCAAGTGCACCCAAGAGGCTACTCAGTTTGGAGACGTGACAGGAAAACTAGGAAGGGAGGAGGAGTGGCTGTACTGGTGAAAAAACACCTGAAGGTAAAAGAGTTAATATTTGAAAACCCTCGAGATATTGACATAATGGCATTGCAGGTCTGGAATCAGGATGATAACCTGATAATTGTAAATACCTACAGCCCACCAGCAAGCAACACGTGGACAAAGGAAGAACTGGATGACAAACGAGAGGGCCTCATAATGGTCATGAGAGATATTATTGTACAAGCAGATAAAGATAAATCACGACTGTTGATACTGGGGACTTCAACTTTAGAGCAATAGACTGGGAGGCCTATGAAGCAAGAACGGAGGACTTTTGGACATGCAGATTTGTGAACCTCATTCTGGAGACATTCTTGTATCAACACATAAAGCAAGCCACAAGAATGAGGGAAGGAGATGTACCGTCAGTACTGGATCTAGTATTCACCAGGAAAGAAGAAGAGATTTTTGACATCCAGTACCTTCCTCCCTTGGGAAAGAGTGATCATGTCCTGTTAGACATTAAATATGCTTTAAGATATCATCTAGAAGAAAATGGGGACATTGAAACAGTTGATAAACTCGATTTAAAGAGAGGCAACTATGGGGAACTTCGAAATTTTTTAATGAGTGTAATTGGACAGAATTGTTGCTAGGCAGGGAAGTAAATGAAATGTATGCCAAATTTTTAAAACTATACGAGGAAGGCACACAAACATTCATACCAAAACAGAGATGCAGGACCAGAAAACAGGATTGGTTCGACAGAAATTGTGAGAGGGCAAGAGACCAAAAGACACAAAAATGGAATCAGTATAGGAAGAGGCCAAACCCCCAAACATACCAGCGATACAAAGATGCGAGAAACAATTATACAGCAGTAAGGAGAGAGGCAGAAAGAAATTTTGAAAAAGGGATAGCAGATAAATGTAAAACAGAACCGGGCCTATTCTACAAATTCATAAACAACAAATTGCAGGTAAAGGATAATATCCAGAGGTTGAAAATGGGAAACAGATTCACAGAAAATGAAAAGGAAATGTGTGAAACATTAAACGAAAAGTTCCAAAGTGTGTTTGTACAAAATGAAATCTTCAGAGAACCAGACACAATAAGAATTCCAGAGAACAACATAGAGCGGATAGAGGTGTCTAGAGTTGAAGTGGAAAATATGCTAAAGGAGCTCGGGAGGAACAAAGCAGCTGGCCCAGATGGCGTTTCACCATGGGTTCTGAGAGAATGTGCATCTGAGCTCAGCATTCCACTTCACCTGATCTTTCAGGCATCCCTGTGTACAGGAATCGTAGCAGACGTGTGGAAACAGGCTAACATAGTTCCAATCTACAAAAGTGGCAGCAGGGAAGACCCCCTCAATTATAGACCTGTATCATTGACAAGTGTAATAGTGAAAGTATTGGAAAAGCTAATCAAAACTAAA